GAAAACTTCCGTATTACGGAGAGAGAAGAAACTTGTCCATAGGTGCGTTCAACTCGTCCACAGGTGCGTTCCAAGAACAAGATGTCCCGGCGTGCTCCTTTCGGGATGCGCCCCCGAGTCGACTTGCATAAAAAATCGTAGCGGCGATTTGATTGCGTAAGTGGCTTATACAGTAACGTATGGTGCCGAGCCCATGTACATGTCAATGCTTTCATCCTCCTAAACGAGTCTGGTCCCCGCGTTTGGAGCAATGAAGCCTAGGTTAGTCTAGGCGGTTATTGTTCCGGTGGCAATTCATGTGCATAAATGCCAAGCGGATGCTTAATGATTACGGCCTCCCTTATACATGACGTTAGGTATTTCTCTGCCAATTACACCTATCAAAGAATTTCAGGGGAGAAAAATAAGATATGTGAGGCACATAGAACAGTCGTTAAAGCGACGCTATGGCGGCCATGATCCGTAGATGGATTCCCCGCTACAGCTTTGCTGATACCAACTGATGATCCCACAGGTTCAAGGTTATCCACTTGGAACAAATCAATCTGGACACCATTTTACGCCCTCCATGAGTCATTGTTGTACAGTTCAATTGAAATTTAATTCTGACTCCTGAAATCCACTATATGGTGCACGCCGAAAAGGATCGATAACTGTCAAAAAAGCTATTATCAAGGTACCTTCCAGTGGGTTTTCAGATAGATTTTGCAGGACGTGAGGTATGGATGGATGAGATTTGGGCGAATTAATGTTAATTTCAAGACACGACACAATTAATTTTCTCTAACAATGAAAGAGAAGAGCCTCCCAAAGGCAAAAAGATCACACCACTTCTACGAAGGGTCTAGACAACCATTTAGGGTAGCCGAATTCTATTGGTAGGCTTAAGAAAATAAAAGCAAGGTTTACAACGAGATTGACTTCCCTAATGCGAGCTATTGGCTGTCTCCATTAGGCCGGAATGAACTCAGCCAGACTTAAAGACATTACCTGTCCTCGTTTTTCACTTAGCTTTGGTTATAAATTGATCTATACATGAAGAAAATTAATAAGGAATAGCACATTCGACAGTATTTTAAGTCCTCTTTAGGGTGAAACACTTGACTTTTGATTTAAATATGTAAAGATTCAGACTGTGACGAAGATCCGTTGTGTCTGAATTTGGATTTGTTTAAATGAAATAAGATTTGAATATCTAGTTTCGGGAACTGCTGATGTCAATGAGGTTGCTCAACTTCACCGAGTGGGAGTTTGAGCCTTGACATTGGAGTGTTGGATTTTCGGGAAGGCTACGGTCACTCTACAAATGTTGCCCCCTCGGCCCTTCAGCTAATGCTTACCCGTTTTTTTCCATTACATAATACCACATCAGAAAAACATTAAAAATTGCAANNGTCAATTCCAATAAGTTATTTATTTATTTTTGTATTTTTTTGCTATCCTCAAATTCATTATATTATTCATATAATTTCAATTTTTGTTATTTATGGTATTCTCATATTTCTTCCTT